TTTAATTGGTTGGGCCATAAAGGTTTTTGAGCCCACCTGACATCCAGAAGAGGGATTCCATAGGAGAGAACTTGCAGTCACTCTCTCCCATATGAGGTTTCCCCCACTTTTTAGTGGTAAAGTACCAAAGGCACTCATTTTTATCAGGAGGTAGTCTAAAGCAGTACATTTTTCCAGTCCAGTCCAGGGCCCCTCCAGACGTTCCCTGCGTGGATAGATGACGTGTGACTTGACTTAAGAGGGCCAGCCTGTGTGTGGTTTGTGGACTCTGTCTTGTTCCCTTATGGTCCCACCTGGGCGAGGAGTTGAGACCTCTTGGGCAGGAGCCACCTGAGCTGCTGCTCATTGTTGCATAAGGTTAAGGTGGGACTCTGGAGGCGGGCTGCCTGGGTTGAAGTCCATTCGATTGGGCATAGTTCCTGGACTCAGTTTTCCTCCTCTGTACAATGGGGATAACACAAGCATTGTTTTTATCACTGTGAGGACCAAACGAGATAATCCTCGGAAAATTCGTAGTGCTGAGCCTGGCAAAGAGTAAGCACGGTTAGTGATGAAGTCACTGACTTACCGCTCAACCGATCCGTTTGCAACAGGGCAGCTCCTTCCAGAACACACGCTTGGAAACCCTTTGCCCTGCCCTGGCTACGTTGGGTTCCGAAAAACTGAGATTTTAAAGAAGTTCCTCTTACTGTGGTTGCACAACAGCTACAAACATTAGTCTTTGTGGTGGAGTCGGTTCGTTCCCCGAACATGCCATCCATTCAAGGGCTCTTTGCCCCATATTATGCTTTGGAAAAATGAGCAAGGACAGAAAAGCCATCCGCGTGATTAAATCGCCAGGACAGTTCGGGACACTGACGAGCCGCTGATTTTTGGTGTCAAGGGCCCGGTGCCTTCACGATGCCCTCTCTCTGCTTGGATGCGGGTACCAGGCGGAGGCAGGTGCGTGGCAGGGTTCGCGCGTTGGGCTGCAGTCACGCACCCGCACGCCGCCGGGCTCCTAATGACACGACGTATTTCCTTAGCCCAGCTGTGATCCCCAAGCTGGATTTGGGAGTTATTTCCCCAGATGGTTGACAGCTTGGAAAAGATATTTAAAAACTCGACTCGTCCAGAACGACGTTTGCTCTGTGAAACACGTTTTTGTAAGGTTTTCACTGAAGCTGTCAGCAGCGTCCAGAGCGATCCCTAGAAATATTTAGGTGTTAAAAAAAGGTCACGTGGGCATTTCATTTCTCTGCTCGCGCAACAATGGCTGTGTTTGCAAGCGGCCGTCCCCCCGATATTAACTTACCTCGCCATTAAGAGGCATTTTTTCTTCCTGCTTAAATCATTGTGTAAGGAGCCTGTATTTATGAGGTATGAGCTTTCTGGTTGGGACCAGGAAATGAACCCCTAATAGAGAGACATAATTAAGATTTTTGGCCCTCGCGAGGGTGTTTTTTTTTTTTTTTT